AATATTATCTTGCAATACAAGTGAAAAAATTGACAGTTTCACTCGCACGCGTGTCAGATTTTCGCAATGCTTATGGGGTCCCACAAAATTTTCGTAAATATTTTGGGGTCGTGAATAAAATCTATGATAAAAGAGGGTCACGACTGAAAAAAAAGTTCAGAAAGCCATGTTTTAGACCAATCAGTTTCCTGACGCCAACCCATTTTTTTGCCTGTTTTGTTTCTCAGCCGAATTATGTTTCTGTGGGAATTTTGCTCTATGTTTTTACTGTTTCAGCTGAATGGAAAAACACGCTAAAATGTTTCAAATGACTATTAGGGGAAGAGAATCAAATACTCCACATTATTATTAACTCTATTTATCTCCTGTTTCGATTCTGAGTTATGTTTTTGATAGAATTTTTCCATATTACATATTTCAGTTCAACAAAAAAATCAACTTTTAAAATATGAGGAAAAGCATGTACTAAAATATTTCAAAATGAAAATGTGGGATAAATAAATATATAAATTAGTTTTTCTCTAGGAGTGTAGGAGTTCTTATATATAGTATATAAAGAAATTTAGAACCAACTTTTCACAAAGACTAAAAATTGAAGTCAAATGATCTTCATAAAATCTATAAATGTAGAACAAGAATACTTTAAAATGTAAAAATTAACACGTTGACTGCCGCGCGCATTTACGTGATTTGCCCATGACGGCAACTTGAAATTTTTGTTATGCGATATATATTATGTCAAAATATTATCTACAGAACATATTGTTATATAATTGTGCTTCATGCTGGGGGTCACCAGGAACCCCCAAACATCTGTAGTCCATTTTTGTGATTTATAATTTAAATTTTTATGATTTATTATTTTTCAAACCATTATAGTAACAATGGTACTATTTAAAAATTTATCAGTATCGATATTTATTCTAATTATGTATTTTACTATTGGTCGCGTTGCCGATGGCACCCACGGCGATATAGCCAAGTCAAGTGCCAGTCACCGGTGACCCCCACGGCAGTCAACATGTTAAAATAAACCATCACAAGAAAAACCAAAAAAGTAGTATAAAAGAACAAGAAAGGTGAGGAATCCAACCAACTTTAACATAATATCGTCAAGAGGAGGTATGTCGAATTTAATTACATTTCCCCTTTCAGAAATTTCAGAAAAGCAAAATCCTTGCTTTTCTGTATCCATAATCAGCTGATGAACCATTTCAATATATTTTTTATCTTAATAGTCACCCGAAAATTCTAGTCCTCCTCAAAGCAAAGGAAAATCATTAAAAATATCTTCAAATTTAAAAATATTTTTCGAATCTAAAAAGAATCTTAAAAAAAATGAAAACATGCCCTTAAAAATATAGAAAAAATTAAAATCCTGCAGTGGAAAATCTTTGAAAGTTCAAAATAATTTGAACACAAAACTTTACTAGAACCTCTTATCAAACAGCAGTAGCAAAGGAAAATGGGGGGGGGGTAAGTAAAATCATTAAAAATATCTTCCAATTTAAAAAGATTTTACTAGTCTAAAGAGGATTTCAATTTTTATTCTTTCTGAAAAATTGGTTCTAAATTTCTTTCTTTATATATTTACTGATATTATATTTTTAGCAGCATAATGCACGAAAATTTTTGGAAGGATTATAAATTTTCCTTTAAAAATATTATTTGTATATACATAGTCCAAACACATCTGTATACAGTGGAATACGTTTAATGCAAAATATCGGTTAACACGAAATAGTGCAACGGTCCCGACAAACTACTATGTATTTTCATGCATTTTGTTTCTCTTAACACGAAACAAAAATCGCTTTACACGAAAAGATATCCTTCCCATGGAAATGAAACAAATATAGGAAACACCGGCCTCGCAGGCGAGATTTAAGACGGGGTGTGAAATGAAAGAGAGGTTGGTTTCACATATTTTTCGTAGAAAGGAGGCTAACATGGCTTTGAAATACCCTCGGAATAGCCTGTGACGCGAGCCAATTTTGTTTATTTACGCTACTTTCACCTTCCACCCCTGTCTACAAACGCCACACAAACATCTCATCTGTAATCAGTTGGCTTTGGAAATTCAGGTGACGAGTATATCGGCAGTGTGAGTAAAAATCTAGTGAGTTTGGCTTCATATGTTGCACTCTGCATAGGAATTCAGCGACTCCAAGCGATGAATGAAAATTATTTTTCATTACACACGATTCTCGAAAGTATCAGATTCTTCGGCGCCAAAAGAAATGGAGAAGTAGGAAGATATTGAAATCTCTGTCTACACTTTTATGAAGTGTTTGAGAAAGTTTCTGTAATTAATTTGAACTGTCCTACTACTGTACTATCGGGAAGAATTCGTTGCAGTAGTTGATGATAATGTGTGTGCAAGACCCGAATTATGGCATTGACAAGACATATTTGGAGTTTGTGTTCAGAAGCTAAAAAGATATCATTGATGCAGATTCCAACTGATGACGAAAATGAAATGAATATTGCAGTCTCCTTTTCCCACGTCATCCGAAATGAGTAATATCATAAAACGAGTATGCGACAGTTATTTAGACGCACAGTCCAATGGTGAAATGAATAACAAAATGTTCGACATTGAACGCATTTTTCACAATTTGATGCTAAAAAAGACAATGCAAAGAAACATAATCAGATTATTTTCCCAGAAACTGAATAAATGTTTCTGTTTTACAAAAACCTTGAAAATTTTGTATTAAATTCCATTAAGTTCCTTGTGGAATGTTTTTGTTTCATTGGTTTTTTATTAAATACATGCATATATATCATATCTATGTAAATAAAATGTCACTCTAATAAGCCTAATTGTGTTGAATATATGCGTTTTTTTTTCTTCTTCATTTTTTTTTTTTTTTTTTTTTTTTTTTTTCTTTTCAATATTCCTTTAACACGAAAAAATATTTCAGTCCCCTCAGTTTTGTGTTAAATGATTTTCATGTATATCTGTTGCACATAAATCCCTTTCTTACATAAAATATAAATGTATGTATAAAATAACTAAATAAATTGTAAAGGAAGTTTAATTAGCAACTATGAAATCTTAAAAAAGTACAAGTATGAAATTTATAATGGCAAACATTAAAAATAGATGAAAGTAAGTAAAATTTAAATTATAGAATGTACTTTATAAAATTAATAACAAGTGGTTAAAAATATATATTTTAATTACTTAGAACATGGAAGTTATTTGGCAGAGATTGTTGGATATAAAATTACTACTTCAAATTTTCAGATTACTATTGTTCATATTTAAAGTCTCAACTTGTAGTCTTAATCCACATAACAACCATTGTAAAAATCATCGTTATCATATTCCAAAGATCAGCAGCATACATTTTTTTCAAAATCGTGCATAATATTAAATATTGGCTTTTGATAGTCAAGTTGATTCAAATAAGATGAGCTGTTTTTATGATTTTAGACTAGTAGTTTATTCTTCCATTCACTTATTACAATATTTCATTTTTTATATGCTCGGCTATCCAAAATTTCAAGACCTTTCCGGATTTTTTTTTTTTTTTTTTTTTTTTTTTTTTTTTTTAGTTTTTACTGTACACACATTTCAGCATTTACATCGTCAAAATTGCGCAGACAAATACTTGCAGTGAATTTACTTTTACAGCTAAACACAGGAACTGGAAAACAAAAAAGTACTTATTCGGAGATTGTATTTCTTTTTCGTTCATGAAAATCAAAGTTCATTACACAAACATGCAATCACACTGCACAAGCATGTATGGAAATTCTTAATACATTTAGTAATCCTGATAACTGATTACGCATTTAGTAAATAAATCAGAAAATATTTTAATGTATAACAACTGAATAAAGTAGTTAAGCTTTTCTAAAACAGAGCATGATACTACAGTTACGAAGATATTTAATGTTATAAAGTTAGGTAATTTAGTAAATTTCAATTGTTCACCAAAGAAATGAATTATGAAGTTCCTTGTATATCTTTATAAATTAACTTTATTGCTGTTTTAAGCAATTAAACAACTGTTCAAGTTATTGTAATAATTTTGAAATATATACACTAAAAGCGTGTGTGCGTGTGTGTGATTATGGCAAAGCCTCGAGGGCTATCTGCCTAAGGGGAGGGATGCCTTCGTGGAGGACTTTCTAAGGGAAACTGGCTCGTATACACGTTACACATGGGGAAAACCACGAAAACGCCCATGTAGCCAGCCCGTTCGCGGGATTCGAACCTCGGACCGAACTACCAGTGTTCAGCGACTTTACCGCTCGGCCACTGGTGGGCTATATACACTAAAAGAAACATTAAAATGTATTAATTTATTTGTCAACCTTGATTTTGGCACGGAAGTCTGCAGAATGCTTAGTAGTTTTTAAGCACATCGAGGCACTGCAATTCTTTCTTATTCCTTGATCTGAAGTTTTCTGCAATTTTTTTTATTATTATTATTATTATTATTATTATATTATTATTATTATTATTATTATTATTTAAATTGCTGTATTGGCACACATACAATTTTTGTATAGTGGCTTCAGATGTGGATAAGTATTTCGAACGCTCTCGTTTGTTTTACTGGCGTCGCTGAATTTTGCGATGAAATGCAGCACATTTATTGCCGAGTATCTCCTTCCAGATTTTTCATACTGTTAATGTATACATCAGCAGTGAATTATTCTCCTCTTTCCTCAAATATACTACAGCGATAAGCCACAATAACCATTCACTAAAGATTTTGCGTAAATTCCCACACATAATAATTTAAATTGCGAAAATCTCAGAATTAGCACCTAAACACACTATTCAGCAGCACAATTCTTTCGAAAGCGCGCCGTAGTAGTCAAAAGTGGGGTAGGCCGTCTTGCCAGATGAAACTAGTCGATATTTCCGTGACGTCAAAAATTCGAAAAGTGGGGTAGGGTTTGGAAATACGCTACGCAGCTTCCTGTACCAACACCACCTAGACTACAAAGCCGGAATAGTAGTGTGAGAATGAAGCTATGAATCATCACACTTAGGCTTAGCACTGAACGAAGCTGCAGGTGTGAATTCGTCGATGTGTGTGGCATAACCGTTGCGCTTGCACGTGTTTTAAAATCGTCGTCAATTATTCTTATAGTAGTATTATGTTTTAAGGCACTTATATTATTTCACTATGGTGTTTAAATGTTGTGTACCCCTATGTAAAGGAAACTATAATGGTGGACCTCGTGTCCACGTATTTTCCTTCCCAAGAGATCCTGAATTGAAGAAGAAATGGATTTATTCAATAAAACGAGACAATTTCGAGCCAACTAAAAATTCTAAGGTAAGTTAATTTATATTTATTATTACTAATGTTAATATTTTTAATAGTACTTACTTACCTAAAGATAACGCTATTCTTTTGTAAAATTATATGCTGCTGTAATAACTACTTTTGTCACATTATTTGCTTAAATTTCTTATAGTACACGATTTTCTTGCATATTTTTTAAAAACCTTACGTTAAGGTATTTTCTAAAGGGATATCGTACTATTGGTTGTATTACATGATGTATAAATCATAATATGTAGCCAAAGCACGATATAAAATAATCAAATATAACAAAATTTTTAACTTATCAGAGAAATTACGTATTTTATTTTATGTTTGTCTATGCAAACATTGCAAATTGTGTTATAAATGTACTTCGATTCTCATTTTGGTGAGGTTCTTTTTTCTTTCCGAAAGGAGAAATTGTGATGCATTATCAAACTCATTTCTTGAATTCATAAATATTTTATCACCTTAATTCTTTGCTAAAAAAATTTGTCTTTGGGGAAAAAACTAGATTCTCTGGGTTTAAAACTGTAATTGTATTTGGTTGTTTTGTGCATAACAGGTTAAATTCAGATATTGAATTAGTATTAACATCCAAATTAAAAGAAAATTATTCTGTAAAGTTCAGTTTTATAAGTTTTAAAATATAGTTATGAATTGGTTTTAAACCGAATTTCAATCTTGTAAATTGTATGTTTATGTATAACAGATTCTTAAGTGAAAATTAATTTTTTTTTACAGGTGTGTGAACTTCATTTTAGCCCTTGTGATATTGAAAAGGAGACGTATATGTATCTTGAAGAAACTGGTGAAACATTATCAGCTCCATTAAAAATCCCAAGACTAAGGAAAGATGCAGTTCCAACAAAACTTCCTGGTGCCCCATCATATTTATCCACTGATGTATCCATAAGAGAAAGTGTTAAAGAACGACAAACAATCCGTGAAAACCGACAACTACAAATGGCTATCTCCAAAAGCATTATGTCAAAAAAATCTGAGGATTCAAAATCAGTGTTTACAACATTCAGTGAATTACAGAACTGTTTAAATTACAACAATTTTTACTCAAAAATTTACTGTTGTCATGAAATCAAATACAATTGTTATTGGAATTTTTGAAATAAGTCCTTCTCCAGTATTTAAATACTGTATTTTATTCGGACACCCATATCGGAATGATCTATAATCCGTCATAAAAACTTTCTGCGCAGCGCCGCGTTACAATGCGCATAGGCGTTTACGCGTGCGCGTAAGACCTTTAACGACTGCGCATATGAGTGTGCGCATGCAGAATACGTTTTCGCGTGCGCGTTTATGTAAATGTATAAAATTATCTAATTATCTATTTCAGTAATGTGAGATTGCGTTGTTCCTTATTTTCGAATTGGATCCGGCTTATTATTTTTTGCAGACTGTAAGAGCAATTTATAAAAGTAAGCAAACTTTCGATTATATCAAATAGAATTTCCGATATATTTGTTAATTGTAAAGGATCTAAAGCGAAAGTATGTTTGAAATCAAATGTTTCATTTCGTTCGGGGGGGAACGCCGGGCGGGCCCGTAAGGAATTGGAAGTTATCTGTCAGCACTATCCTTATCTTCAGCGCAGATGTTTTATTTATTTGGCTTATATTCCTTACCAAATGTATTTCATCTCGAATGCTCCGTCTTTGATATGATTTAAAACAAGTTCCTCGCATTATAATTCGCTTCCGATAGCGAAAAAGGACAGAGGTTATTGAAAACGAAAAAATTTCGATTGAAAATTAGTCGGTGTTCTCGACACAGCAATTATAGGACTTGAACAGCGGAACTTTGTAACTGAACAAGAAATTATTCTGTTTAATAGAATTAAAGAGAAAGTATTATCACATGAAACGAAGCAAAACTTAAACAACTTACATTGAAAGAAATGTTTTAATAAGTAAACAAATAATATTAAGCTTTTTCCTTTTGCAAATTTTGATACCCTTTAGATCATAATTGTTCTTTATTTCATAAATTACGGTTTCATATTTTTAATTTTAGAATTTCTGCATGCCATCTTACGAGATTTAAACTGATGATCTATAATCCGGAAAAATCGATAATCCGGAATCGCCGAAGTCCCGACGAGTCCAGATTAACGACTTTTGACTGTATTTCTATCAATAATAGTATGCCGTTATCAGCGTTTCACCAATCTGCAGAACTAAAAGTGTTAAATGATAGTAAGTTACCCATGCATGTTAAAAGTATTCATGAAATTGATAATATTTTAAATGCACTTGAACTTCTAGAAGCAGGAGCTCCAAAAAGTATTGTAAATATAATTAATTTTATTAATATATTTATAGATAAACTGGATGCCATTGTTTCAGATGATAAAAAAATGTGTTTTTAACATTTTAAAAGAGCAACTGAATTTGCTGTGCCTTCCAAAACAACGTTTAAGATATTCCCCCCATTTCTTAATTTTTGCCTGTATTTTAAATTCGATTTCACCCCACGCCTATAAATTTATGCGAAATTCTGGAAATCTGATCATGCCTCACACTGTTACTCTACGAAACATATGTTCTAATCTAAATGTCAGTGTCTCTGAAGAGCAGCAGCACTCTAATTTCTTAAGGTATATTAAACAAAAATTTAAAACTTTAAAAGAATGTGAGCACAATGTAATATTAATGATGGATGAAATTCATCTAAAACCTTTTTATGATTTTAAAGGTGGCAATATTGTTGGTTCTGCATATGACAGTGCATTTGCTGCTTCTTCAGCATATACATTTATGATTAGAAGCTTATTATCATCTTACAAAGATGTTGCTCACATCCTGCCAATAAAATCATTTAGTGCAGAAAAATTGTTTGAAATTTTAAGAGATGTAATTGTAGGTCTTGAAAAGATAGGTCTTAAGGTAGTTTGTGTGGTTAGTGATAATAATAGCATTAACAGGAAAGCCATGTCCTTCTTTAGTGAGAAGCATGAAATTAAAATTATGTACCAAAATCCATATGAACCACACAGACCCCTTTTTTTTTTTTTTGTCATTGATCCTGTTCATTTGTTAAAATGTATTCGTAACAATTGGATTGGCCAAAAAAATGATGGCTTGTTTATGTATTTTCCTAAATTTAATGCTGTTGGCAGTGAAGAATTTAATGCAGCCTCATTTAATACTATAAGAAAACTACATGATCTTGAATTTGATAGTTTAATTAAATATGGGTATGGTTTAACTCTTAAAGCTTTATGGCCTTCAAATCTTGAAAGGCAGAATGTTAAATTAGTTTTTACAAGTGTTTAATAACTGGGTAATCACAGCCTTAACAGAACTAGGTAATAAACACAATTTGGATAGTTATGAATCAACAGCTAATTATATAGATATAATTTATAAATGGTGGTGTATAGTAAATACCAAAACACCTCTTAAAGGCAAACGACTGAAATGTTCTTTTCAAGAACCACTGATATTTTCAAATGTAGACTCAAATGTTGAGTATTTAAATAACTTTGTAAACTGGTTGGACAAATGGAAAGATGCAAAATGCACTACTGGTTGCTTGTCAAAAGAAACTCATGATGCTCTGAGAAACACAACATATGCACTTATTGAATTGGGCAAGTATTGCATTAAAGAGCTAGGCATGAATTATTTTTTACCTGGTAAAATACAAACAGATTTGTTAGAAGATCGTTTTGGCAAGTATCGCCAACTTTCTGGTTCGCAATACTGTATTTCCATTAGACAGGTTTATGAATCTGAGTCAAAATTACGAATGCAAAGCTTATTACCTTTAAAGCTTAATTCAAGTACTTTTGGAAATATTGCTATTGAAATAAATGAAAGGAATGATTGTGAGGAGGAAAACATTGATTTATCCCTTGTGGAAACTTTTTCTCTTGTAGTATCTGAAAACGACATGATAGAAGCTCAGCCATATGTTCCCATATTAACTTATATAGCTGGTTATTGCCTTTATTCTACCTTTAAAAAATATCCATGTGAATTTTGTAAAATGACTTGTGTTATTGATAGGGAACTCAATATCCCTTCCGAATTTAATTTAATCAGAAAATTAGATAGGGGTGGCCTTTTGTATCCTATGCCTCATGTTTTAAATATTGTTTTATATAATTTTATTGTAGTACAAAAACTTGTATCTCAAGAGTTTGAAAGTAAGTTTTTAAAACACCCTGCTCAAAGAAATTTAGCTGTAAATTTAACTCTGAATGCTTTGATGTCAAATGAGGATTTGGATATTGAACCATGTGTAAAAGGCCATTCCTTTGATCCCATAGCTGAAAATATAATCAAATCCTCTACAAACACGATGTTAAACAACTATTGTAAACAAAAAAAAAAAAGATTTAAAAAAACCTGCTTGTAAAAAAAGAAAATTATCAACTTTGATAAAGTAAATAAAAAAGTAATTTACAGTTAGTCTTAAAAAGTATCTAACTTGTTTTAATAATAATGTCTAAAAATGCAACAAAAGTATATAAAAGTTTAGTAGTAACTTCCTGAACTTTAAAGACATGTCTGCAATTTTCTAATAGCTTCAAAACAGATTTTTTTTTCCATTCTAAATTTTTTAAGTCATAACTTATATTCACTTTCAACCATTAGTCTGTTTTATGAACAGAGACATTGCTACTACTTAATTCTGATTAAATGAATAATTTTTATAACCACAGAAGCAGTTCAAATCTCTAAATGCTATGCTATGCATATTCATTCGACAATCGTCATTCGACTCGTCATAACAATATATGTTGTATTATAATTTATTTTTAATTATAATTAGCTCTTTATAGATATATTTTACTCCAGCTCTTGTAAATGAATCCAAAAACTTTATTTCTTGTATTTTTTTTTAAATTTCAAAACGAGCTATTTTTATCATTATAATTTATGTTTTGAATTGCAATTTAATGTTTTTCAGTTTTTGTACTTCCTATGAGATCACTGTAGAAAATGTGTGTGTAAAATCCCACAAATCGAATAATTTTGAATTAATTCCACATTTTTAATCTTGCTTATTAAATCAGATCCTTTGCTTAAAACTAATTGTATGATTGCATTATTTTTTTCAAACTGTATTCATCCTTCTATTAGTTTTGTGATTCTGAGTAGTAGTTTGTATTTCTGTTTTTGTGAATAATAATAAAAAAAAATTAGTGTGTTTCATGCTTTAAAATAAAAGTTCTCAACTGACATTATTTAAAAAATATATAATATAATTTTGATAATAATTATAACACCTTTCAGAAAAAAATAGTTTAACATTTGCTGTGCTGAAAATGTAACTTTAACTGATTAGTATTTATTTTAAAGAAAATTCGATTTAAATTTAAAAATCAAGATTGCAAGTGCTTTAAAGGAGGAAAGTAATTATAAATATATTAAAATAAAACGTCAACAGTAAAAAAATAGATTGTAAGTTCTTTCCGAAACTATATGCTCGTTGCGCTATCGTAATTTCGATAGCCTAACTGGCATGACTCATAAGTGGAGCTTTCTGACTTTGTAGTCTAGGTCAAAGAATCTGTAAGGAGAAGAAGTAAAGGTTTCCCGAGGCAAATGTGGCTCCGTCAGACTGAAGAGACACTGTGTATGTCCCTGAAGCTTATTTTAAAGGGGCAATCCATCCACCCTCCGTACCTTTCTGCGCATGTGCGAAATAGCAGGCAAGAAACCGGCATGTCGTCAGCCGTATTAGCAATCTTTTACCACGTTGTTCGAAGAGGTTCATTGAAAGTTTTTTTCAGTTCTTTTCTCTGGTTATTTAAGCTGATCATAAGATGGATGTTTCGCAAGGACGATCACCGGAATTCACCCGACCGATTCTCTTTCTGTGAGGTAAGCTTGCTTTTTTAATTCGAAAACCTATCATAGATTTTAAAAATTGATTTTGTATAGTACATTAATTTTGATTCCCAAGCTCCAAAAATATTTTGTCTCATTGTATCACACAGCAGCTAGATTTTCATTCTTAATATATTAACTTTGCATTTTAGCATATGAATCTCAATTTATATAATTAATCATATGGCAAACAAATACTATAGTTTTTGCAGGCATATTGCTATTTCTTTCCAAATTTTTTTACTGAGTTTTAAGCTTTAAAGTCAACTAATAATAATATTACGACAAAACGAGCGATCAGGAATAAATTTGCCATTTATAATAATGCGGCAACTAATGGCATGTATGATTGCATAAATTAATTTTATTAATAAATTGTATTATGCTTCAGCTTTAAATTTATGCTATAGATTACCAAATAATTTATCTGAGAAAATTTATAAACTTATTTAATATTAGTGGCCACTGAAGACTATTTTTAATGTAGTATATTGATAGTTATATACAATTTTTCGTATTTTATGATTATTTTTGAAAATTTTATATTCATTATTATAAAAATATAATTTTGATTTCTCTCAATATTTGATGTGGTTTAGTGAATAACAGACTAACTCAATCTATCTTTTACTTAGCAAACAACCCAAATCCTGGTATCGCTGTAGTGTTTGTGGGACAACATCTCGAAAAACACCAGACAGGAAATTTTTCAGATTTCCTAAGGATCCTATTAGGTAAATCATTTCTAAGTTTAAAAGAAACTAAGCTTTGATAATTAATAATATATATATATCTCAATTTTTGATAGAGAAGCAAATATTTCATGTATTTGGAATAATTTAAATAAATAGCTTGTTTTTTTTCCATTAAGTGTTCCTCATCATGGACAAATAGTTCAGTGTTCTTCTGTAAATATTCAAGATAACTGTGCTTGTGATACAGTTGCTCCCAAAAGTGTTCATACACTTTAAGAATTTGTAAAAAATGCGCTGTAGCCCGGAATTGAATTTGATTATAAAGCCCAATATTTTCTCATATCTCGAAGTGATTTTGAATAAAACCAAATTTTTTAAAAATTTTTTTCTTCTAATATTTTAGAAGATAATTTTTGTAATTTATGTATTACAAGCTTGAATGCTGCAGGATATCCTACAAAAACTGCAGATTTCTTTAAAGTGCACGAAGATTTTTGTGAGGTAACTTTTTTGTTACTTTTTAATTATTAATTCCCCCCCCCAAAGTTTTACTGTATTCTTATAATACTTTTATAGAGTTTTGCTAAGATAAATTTATAGATATTAAAAAATTCTCACAGCACTATTTCACTGAAACATAAGTGTACGAACACTTTAGGGAACCACTACATATTAGTGTGAATAAGGAAGGAAACATTTTAAAGATGCACTTTACGAACAATGTGTACTTTTTATTGGTGCCTTATCCTTTTTTAATCATATTGTTAACAAAACTGTACAAAGAAATGCTAAATTGTTTAACTAGATACTATGACTGGTAACTACAATTTAACACAATATTGGTTTTCGTACATCAAAATAAAATTAGATGAAATGCAATCGTTTCAGAATTTGTTACTAATGTAAAAGGAATTTTTTAACAAGGTTAAATTTCTAATAACACTGAAAAGAGGTTCTTTTAATTAAAGAAAATAAAATTGTTTTTTTGTTTTCATAGATCAAAATAATAGAGAATTAGTATAAATATGTCAGAAATGTAATAAATCATATTATGTACATGAATTTTTCCTTAAATTATAATTTAATGTTTGTTCTTAAAAAATATATAACCCTTCTCGAGATTGTGTAACTAATGTATAAGGAATGTTTTTAGTTTGCTATTTTTCTACTAACACTGAAAATGGATTTATTGAAATTTAAAATATAAAATTAATGTTTTCATTTTTTTCATAGATCAAAACAATGGGCTCCCGCATGCAGTAATCAAGACTTGTTAAATATAATCACCAACTAATTTGTATAAAACTGCACTAATATGTTCGTCACACACTTCAAAGATCATGATTACTGTTCACCAAAGATGCGATATTTACATTCCTGTGCCAGTGCCGACAAAATTTGAACAAACAGGTATCTACAGTGTTTACTGTTATTATTTCAATATGCTTAACAATAGCGTGCCATCTAAGAAATAACTCATCAATAATAGTGGATCACCTGTCATGTTATGCTCAAAGAATACTGTGCAACAAAAATTGATGGTTTGGATCGCCTGTCATGTTATGCTCAAAGAATGCTGTACAACAAAATTGACGGTTATTAGTCGAAATATTGACTGTTGATTTTTGGCAAAATTAAAAATTATGTAAAATCCAAGCATACAGCATTTTTAGAATTATTATATGTATAGTGAAGGTGGAAAATAGGCATTTCTTGCAATTGCTATTTAAAAGAATTAATTTCTAATTTCATAATTTGAAACAATCTTCATCAGGATGAGCTGCAGCAATATTTATTTGATTCAGTGGATTATTTACAAAACTTCTTAATACCTATAGGTTTGATTTTCAAGTTAAGTATTTAATCTTATATTAATAAATGTGAGAAGTATTGAATATTTTATGGACCAAGAAAATGAAATTAGTTATTTTAATCATTTTTGTGCAACTTTTATAAGACATTTTAAATGTAATCTTGTATTTGTTAATTTAAGTGAAATGCTTTTGACTCTTTGTTTTCATAATAGTCATTCCAAATAATTAAAATTTCTTGGTAATTTTTTTTTTTTTTTTTTTTTTTTTTGAGGTCAGATAATTATAATGAATTCAGTGTTTTCAATTTATTTAGGGGTACTTGTAATTGTTTTTAAATTATTTTTTTTGTTTCAGTTAGTTATCATGCAAATTTTGCTCATAAATTTTAAATATGGAGTTATAAAAATTTATTATGAATTATATGGTATGTGTTTCTTCTTTTTGAAGCTTACAGAATTAAATGTACTCATTGGTCGAATAATTCGGGATTTAAATAGATTTTTGCAAAATTAAAATTATGTAAAATCCAAGCTACAGCATTTTTAGAATTATTATATGTATAGTGAAGATGGAAAATAGTCATTTTTGTAATTGCTATTTAAAAAAAATCAATTTCTAATTTCATAATTTGAAATAATCTTCATCAGGATGAGCTGCTGCAACAATATTTATTTGATTCAGTGGATTATTTATAAAATTTCTTCCCAGGTTTTAATAACACCTGGAAGGTTTGATTTTCAAGTTCAGTATTTAATCTTGTATTAATAAATGTAAGAAGTATTGAATATTTTATGAAAAAGTAATGAAATCACTTATTTTAATAATTTATGTGAAATTCTTTAAAAGGCCTTTTTAAGTGTAATTTTGTATTTGTTAATTTAAGTGAAATGCTTTTGGTTCTTGGCTGCAAAATTTGCTCATTGTTTTCATAATGGTCATTCCAAATAATTGTCTAAAAAATTTCTTGGTATTTGTGAAGATGCTTAAAATTATTTTGCATATGTATATTCTAAAACTTGAGAAATGTCAATAAAAATCATTTTTTTTACCTCAAATGTGTTATTCTTTGTTTTAATATTTAATAATATGCTTGATATGAAAAGATTTACAAAAAAATAGCGTTATTTATGTAATTAATTGCAGATTTGTTAGAAATCTAACATCACGGCAGTAGTTAATTTTGTTTTCTATTAATTCTGATGTTAGTTATAAATTAATGCTAGATATTATATCAAAAGAATAACAATTCTGTGAGTTTACAGAAAGAAGAGTTAAGGGGTAAAATAAGGAATATAAAAATAATAAAATTTATTTATTTATTCATTTATTTTGCAATTGAATTTTAGGATGTTCTATGCGAAACATCTAGACGATTAAAGATTAGAAGATAAAAGATCAGCTACACAATTTATCTGAAATGTATGAAAAATAAAACATTTTGAGGAATTTCAAAGGAAAAAAAAATTACTATCTCCTCGGACTGCGCTATTTAAATTCCACCCTGCGCTGCTGTTTCACTGTATAGCCGTGGCTCCTCGATATAGCGGCGCTGAGGCGAAACAAGTTTACATTGCGTCTATGGAAGCTTTCATTCTTTTCCTTACAGATTCTTTGGTCTAGGTGGCGTTGGTTCAGCGCTCAGCCTAAATGTGATGACTCATAGCTTCATTCTCGCACCAGTATTCTGGCTTTGTAGTCTAGGTGGCGTTGGCCTAACTGGGGGTATGGATAAGGAAAGCGCTCTAAAAAAGTTTAATTCCTACTCACATTACATATGTGGAAGTACACTTCAGATTAAGTTTGATAAGAAAATTTTCTGTATATTTCAGTGGATATTGATTCAAAACATGTACTTATCACTTATTATTTATCTGAACTTTTACGACTTCCCTGCCACTAATAATAATATATAATTCTTAATAAATAAAAATGAAAGTTTGCTTGCAAAACTAACAAACTTACGATATATCTTCAATAAAATGCAGTAGATATATTTTCTTTTTTGAATGAGAAAAGGCAGAGAAAAACTCTATGCCAAAATGCGTAGAGCTTTTTTAAACTGCCAGTATCCATTTAAAATAAATTTTGCATAATTATTTGAATTTAATATAAGCCATTATGAACGATCCTACTAGTATATTCTTCTAAAGATTTAATTTAGATTTTGATCACTCAAATAGAACAGCGCTCCTTGGGAGAGAACTTATTTACTTTAAATGTTATAAAGAGATAATCGTTTGATCTAAACTCTTGCCTGGAAGTACTTCACGACTTTATTCTCGAAGGCAATGGAGAGAGCTCTCGATATTCTTCGGACATCGTCCCAAAGGCATATTTTGAAGTGACAGCGCTTCGCTTGGAGTAAACTAGTAAGTCAATTAAGCATTAGTTTTTGCAGTAATTTCTTTTTGGTGCCTGTAGAGCCATTAGTATTTTTGAAGTAGGAAACACGAAAAATGAGCAGTGCCCTCACCGGGATTCGAACCTCGAATATGCGTCGAGTGCGCTACCGTTAGGCCACGAAGGGAAGGCAGAAAGGAGGGAGAAAATACCATATATGCTAAATAAGTCTGTTTACTGTGTCACATTATGTTATGTCACTAAGACATATATCATCCGCATATGAGGGCCAAGGAATGGGTAAAATTTTGCCACTCTCTGCGACATACAGTTATTGATTTATCTCCCGTGCAACCTTGGGTTGATCATTGATCATCTGCAAAGTGGATAAATATGCTGAACACTGGTAATTCGGCACAGATTAAAATTCCGGAGAACGGTTCGTGGTTTCGGCACATATAACGCACATAAAGAAGTTTCATTATAGAGCTCTCCATAAAGAAAATATTTTCAAACAAATAGTCCTCGTATGCTTTTATTTAATCAATTAACCAACTAATTAACAACTCACGGGGGTTTGTAGATCGCCAATTTTCAGATGTCTTATTCGACGTAACCCTGGATCTTTTCATTTACATTCAAATTAAAATTACATATTGCTTAAGCAAGTGATTTATTTAAAAACAACGCGCATACTTCTTAATAATGTATAACTGGATTTTAGCTCATGAAAACTCTCTTCAATTGGTGTAGTTTATAATGATATAATTTATAGCATATCTTAATCACATAATTATTATCCTGAGTGACACTCAAAATGCATCGGTAAACACAAGAAACTCATAAGTAATCTGACCCACGAGCAGAATTCTATCCGTCTGCATGTATAGACAGGATTTATATTTGACAGGATGGAAAGAGCGCTCCTCAATTCCTCCCTCCCTCGACCTGCTCCTACAAAGACCGTGAAAAACGAACGGCATAAACAGAAGGAGGCTCGAAACTTTAATCCCTGCCACTAATCTCGCGGAATGTGGAAGTTCTCTACTACTCGCCCCACCCGCAGACGGATATTCGAAGTTCGCGGAACACCGTGAGAGGTTTGCTTCATGACGATAGGAAATGCCAGAAATGGCACATTTTCGAAATGGCGCAGAAACGGAAGATTTACCTTAAGGCACAACCGATATCTATATCGTCTGTTCCAGGCTAAATAAAATTAAATTTGTTATTAATTTATGATATTTTTAATGAAATTTGTTCAAACTTTTTGGAGACTTACTTTATAAGGTATTTCTCCCGCCTTCTTAGCATGCCTTCGTAGTATGGTGGTCTGCACGCTGGGCGTGTATTTCAGAGGTCCGTGATTCGATTCCCGGCGAAGGGGTTGCTCAATTTTCACTTCTTCCTGCTTCCAAAAAATCTAATGTCTCTACAACTTTACGTTACGTTCGTTACCTTACATTTATCGTCTACGAGATTTCTCAAGGTCTATTGAATGGAAAATTCTTCAATTTATCTAATACTAAAATAAAGTTTAATTTTGTTAATTCGTAAAGTCCTTTAATTTTTTTATTGCTGAAATTTCAGCAATCTGTAATTGCCAGCAAATTAAACAGAAGCGTAGCTAGGGTTTTCAGTGCCCGGGCACAACTGAAGATTTTGCGCCTCTTTCTGTGTACCAAAAATGTAAAACATTTAATTCTAAAATTTCATAGCATCAATTCGGCGCCCCCTGGATGCTGCGCCCGGGGACCAGCTGTCCCTCCTTGCCCTACCCTAGCTACGCCACTGAAATTAAACAATTTGAAGCAATGAACATACTTCTTAATAATTTTAAACTTTATTTTGTACTTTTAATCATTTACTTTATTAGGTCCCAAAGCATGAGTCGGAAGACGATCTGATAAAAAGTTCTGAAGAACCTTTTACTTTTCTATCATTGTATGTATATATGTGTATGTGTGTCTGAGATAAATATGCAAATCAAAACTAACTTTAACTTGAGACAGTGTTTTAACTTTCTAACTTAATCTGGATATTTCCCTTTTTCATCTTATACATAACATCGATGTCGCAACTAATTCGGAACTGATAATTCAAAATTGTAAATCAAAACTATTCATTTTCAACTAAATTTCCATACTGGACTACGTTGCATTTGCTTT